ATCTCTTAAGAAAACAAGAACTCTTAGGCCTTTATGGCTCACCTTCCACGGTCCCAGTTCTCACCCCGCAGTGGGTGAAAGAAGGGTTAAAAGGGGGACCATTTTGAAATCAAATCAAGGCTCTCACTGTCAAGACTCAGGTGTGGTAGCTTTGACAAACCGTCCATGATGTATAGTTTAGCCGCACGGATGGAACTCCAGCGTCCTTTGTCTAGGACCAAATCGTACGAAAGAGTTTCCTGAAATAAATGTGTCGCTCCGCCTCTCCTGAGGCTATAAGGCCTGAAGCCACAGCGCTGAAGCCTGAAAAATCTACAGTACTCTTTAAACCGTTGCCGAAAAGTCGAAGGAGTGCCTCTCCAAATTTTCGCAAATTTCAGGTTCTTTTCTTGCAAATATTCCAGGAGTGTCTGAAGTACCTATATGACCCATGGATGTTGAAGCGTCACCATTTCCGTGACTCCCTTCCGTTCGGAGGTCTTCGTGTTTGCTAACCTGACAAGACCTTGGCCGTTCCTAATCAACAGATCTGATCCGCAAAGTCCTAGCACCTCTCCTGTCCTCAGGAGCCCCTCAAATGCTGTGAGGAGCAAAGCACCAAAGATCAAATCCCCTCTATGAATAGCCAGGGCAGCCATTGCAAACACAATTTCCTGCGCCATTGGGGGCGCGCGACATGGCACCTCCAGTCGTCTCCAAACACGGAAAAGTCTCCAAGCTTCTGGTATTTTACCACGAATACCGGGGCAGAAGAATTGAACACCGCACAAAGCCGTTGAAACATGGTACAGTGGTCGACCCTTAGTCCATGAAGCTTCAATCCAACCGCAAATGCTATCATCCAACTGTTCCTCCGAAGTTGCAGCCCGGAAAAGTGGTAAAAGCTTACGCCCAAACTTGTAGTACTGTTCAAGTGTTCGAGGTTTGACAATGGAGTCTCTCAACACGATGCCTCGTCTTGCACGGGCACGCTCGGCCGTTGACCGGCGCCCCAAGACGCTAGCATTGCGATGCTTCATCGGTCGGGTTCTGGCTTGATTCAACGTGTCCTATTACCAAGTACAAATCAAAGGCCAGGAGCAATGAGTTGAGCTGCCTAAGAACAAAAAAACCAAGCTTCTTTGAACCAGACCTACCCTTGCCAATAACACTCATGCAAACGTAGCTGTCTGTAAGGTGAAAAATACGTGTGCTCATCGCTGCTCGTCTGCTAATGTGATAGCGAATAGCCAAAACAATGGAGCGCAGTTCGAGACTGTTAATGTGTTCTTGCTTCCCCCAACGACAATGAAACACCGGTTCCCAGTTCCACCAGGAGGCCTCGGCCCCCTGGCGGGGAAAGGCCTTTGGGTTGAGGATGTCCCCCGTGGAAATGCGGACGTCAGAACCAGTGTGGTTGACCTTCGTTAGGAGAATCCGGTTAAGGTCTTGTGGGCGGAGCATCGAAGAGAGTGCCTGCGCATGAAACCCATACTGGAGACCCTGAGAAAGTGGCGCAGGGCAACGAAGTGGTGACCGAAACCCTGGTGCCAATCCCATTCTGTTTGCTAACCATTGGAACTCCACTGATGGGAGAAAGCGACGGCACAACGCAGCCCCCGGAATGACGAACGAAAAGATGGAGAAACTGTCTCCAAGCAAAGAACACCTCATGTCCTCGTAAGCTTGGGGCCCCACCTGTTTCTGTTGGCTTGCCGAAAGGCATAGGGAGGTGTGCCCTTCGCCGTAGCCAAGCAAGCGCTCGCGTTCCGCTGCCGAGGGCAATCGCCACTCATCTCCTCGCCAAAACAAGAACTCATCGTTATACTGGTAAGGCGGAAACCTAAAGGCATGGGACCTCCATCTTGCAATAGTGTCTTCTGAACAACGAGAGAGCCCAGCGGGCTTCGGAGGAGGCTGATTCCTAGGAATCGCCTTCATACACGTGGGCAGCACGGCGCCCTCCCAGGCACCAGCCCACTCCCAACCGTGGTCGATCCACTGGTCCCCTGTGGGGTAAGACGCATGTGCGTGGATGCGCCTCCAATACTGATGCTGGGTGAAAGAGATTCCTTCAAGAGCCCCCTCTAACGGCTCACTCACCTCATCGGGACTGAATCGACCGGGTCCAGTTCATAGGGCCAAGTGTGGAAGATCTGGGACACCTCTTCACAAGCTGACTTGTCCATAGACGAGACGTTCTCGATGACACGTTTGACAAGGACCTGACTCCCAAAGGTCTCCCTTACGAGGTTTTCGATTCATGGAATTTCAAAAACCAGAGACGATGCAGGGCCCTGCAAACCTTGACGGAAAGCTCTCACCCTGCAAAGGTCAGTGCACGGGAATCCCGCCCAAAGGTGGATCTCTTCGACCATTGGATACTGCAGCATCCACTGATGCACCATTTCGGAGTCCACATTCCTAACGTCCGTGACAAGTTGAACTTGAGGCCACCTCTTCTGGACAATGCGATTTGCTGGCCCGTACAGCTCTACTGCGATCAGCCCAATAGGTTGAATGTTGAGGATATCGTATACCCTAAAGCAACCCGCAATCCCGTTGAAGAGGGAAATCACGAGAATAGGATGAGGGTTGATTTCAACACTTCTGATCTTTGATGCCATTACAAAGTCCATCCCAGCCTGTGACAAGCAATGCGAAATACCAACTGCCCCTCCTTTGGTAGATGCATCTGATGCTGTTGTACAGGTATCTATAGTGGCGCCCAAGTTGCAATGTAGAAAAGGGGAAATAAGCACTAACGTCCACAATTCCCGTCTTACACCAGCGACAACCCGTGGTCCAGAGGCCTTCCCTGAAATGAAGTCCCAAACGTGTTCCAAGACAATCATACCTGGCCTCCTAAACTGCAGTACGTGAACCCACCTTCCAATAACAATCTGGACGACCTTCCTCCTCAGAATCCTCCCGCTCAAGGTCCAGAGGGTCGTCTGAAGCAACTTGAGCAGGCGTTCACCGGTCACAGAGATCATTCTGCTCTCGCCGTCCAGCCAGGCACCTAGCTCTTGGACCTTCGAGGCACCAGAAACCTTCTTCTTTGCAGAGGACACCAGGCCCGAACGTGCCCATGCATCCTCGACGCAATCGTGAAGGCTCTGTCCTGCTGCATCTGTCTCGGCGGGGAGGATCTTCTGGCCGGCGCAGAAATTGTCAAGGTAAACATGCCACCAAGGCATGTCCCTTGCCTCCGCGAGTTCAATGCAACTTGTCAAGAACGTCGGAAGCGCCCGTCCACGTACCAGTTGAGTTCCTACCGGTGCCCCACCAAGAAGTGCAACCTGTTCTGCTACTTCCTGCATGATGGACACACTTGAGCTCCATCCCATCGGGAGCACAGAGCATGAAAGAACATAGGTAGTGGAAGGGTCCATATCAATGTCTGACCCCCTGACTTTGATGTTGAAGGCAAGGTATTTCTGCCATACTTTTGGTAATCGGAAAAGATAGAAAGCGGCCGTCAGATCTGATTGAAACAAAGCCATGCCTTCCCCCTCGCCCAATGTGAGACCGAGCCACGCCGTTATCGAAGGTAGATGCCTCACGGCTCCACGAATCGAGTCCATCGTAAGAACCTTGCGTCCATCTGGTAGAACTGTGGGTTTCTCAACACCGAAGAGTCCGGAAAGAACTGGTTGGTTCCGGTAGTGAAAGACGTCCTCAAGCCTAGTCCAAGAACAAATGTTACGCCTGACCAACTCCTTACATAGTGGCAACACCTGCTCAGTGGGACAGTGCACTCTAGCTTGAAGAGGCGGAAGTTCTTGACCAACGTCGGGAAGAACCAAAAGTGAGGGGTCTTGCAAGATCCTCGAAGTCCCACGGGATACCAAGTCCAAAACATCGACCGACCCCCCGTGTCCCACCGGTGGCAACCCAGGGATCACCTGATCCAAGGTCAATGGGTGACATGTGCCCAACTCTTCCCCCGTGTAAGACACACGCTTCCCTTTTAGCTCCTGTTCAACGGAGTCAGCGGTGCACGAATGCTGGCCCTTAAGTTCAAGGACCCTCCCGCACGACTTTGCGATGGAGGCCGCGGCACGGGTTTGAGAAGCATTAAGCCTCCCACCAGCCAGCGGCTTGAGTCCTCCGCATAGAGCATTCACTCCAACTCTTGCACACACCTGCCAGGCCAAAGGTCCCGAACTGTCTGCAAACGAAGGTTGAAGCACTGTCTCCAAGCGAAGATGCCTCAAACTCTCAACAAAGCCCTCGAGATCACCCGCTCTCAAAGGAAAAATCACCCCCTTTTTGGAGGTGACTTGTGGCTTCCAGCAGTGCTCAAAAACTACCTTCCTGACCACCAACGAAAGATCGCTCGGCTCCAAGGCGTCTGCATTGGCAATGAGCCATGCCCCAAAACAACCAGCCTGTGCGAGGTTGCTGATGTTCGCC